GTGTGCGGCCGCGCCGCGGCCCCGCCGCACGTGTGCACAGCTCTCCGCGCCCCTTTCACTGCCGGCTGCAGCGACCACATGATTGCCCCACCCACACCATGATCCTCTCCCGTTGCATCCTGCATATGTCATCAATCAATCGAACCCATAATCCCACGTAGGTTTTACATCAACTCTTGGTACCCCCCGGCCCACATAACGCTGTCATACTCTGTCATCGAGGCCGCGGTGGGCGCCGCCAACTGCCTGGGTGAGCCGCGCGCTGCGCGGGGTCCGCGGCGGGATCTGCGGTGGTAAGGGTGGTGCGAGGGCACTGGGACGGCGGCTGGCCGCCGCCTTTGAGGGGGTTGAGGCAGCGGTGGCTCGCGCACTTGCCATGGCGAGGGCTCTGTGGCTTGGTTTTCAATTGTTTACACACGCCATTTTGCAGGTGCCGCCACGCAGAGCGGGGCGCGTGTGTGCGTATGTGCGAACGCAGGGACACGCATATGTGTGAGCTGTGCACACGCGCGCGTGCACACACAAACACACTCAGACGCACACACACACACACACACACACACACACACACACACACACACACACACACACACACACACACTCAACAACCGCCCCTCTACCCCCACCTTCGCTCGCCTGCTCACCTCGCGGCCTGGTCAGCCGCCCCCATGGCGGCCGCGCTGCTGATGCTGGACGGCCTGATGGGCCTCAGGGGGTGGCAGATCCTGTTTTTCGTTGAGGTGGGGCCCCGGATAGTACACGGGGTTGTACAGAGGGCGAAACACGTGGTTTGCAGTAATGGCAGGTGGGGAATGGTTTGCAGTAATGGCACGTGGGGAATGAGAGCTTTTCAGTGATGCGGGGGCTGTTTGCGGCGCAGCAGCTCCACACCGGAATGTGCATCGGTGTGGGGGCTGTCGACTCGTCTCTGGCTCCAAGGGAAGACCGAGGGACAACAGCAGGCCAGGCGCCCCTGCGCCGCCGCCGCGGGCGCGTTGGGCGCGCGTTCGCCACCCCTGCGCGTTACCCCCCTCCGCCGCCCACGCGCCTGCACCCATTCCCCTGCGGCTCCGCTCCCATTCCCCCTCAGGGCTTGCCCAGCGTCCTCCTGGGTCTCTACATCTGGCGCCGCCTCCCCCGCCACACCCACGAAGCGCGCTTCCTATCTGCAGCCGAGCGCGCCTGGCTGTCCGTCGCGTCGGCCGGCGCCCGCAAGCACGCGGAGCAGGGGGAGGCGCTGGGGGGGCGGCGGCTGCTGATTGAGTCGCTGAGCAATTCGCGGCTGTGGGCCATCATGGCGGTCGGCGTGCTCAAGAACGCCGCGCTCACAGGGTGCGAGCCTGCGCGTGCGTGGGGCCCCGCACGCGCGCGCGCGCGCGCATGTGTGTGTGTGTGTGTGTGTGTGTGTGTGTTCGCGCGCGCGCGTGTGCGTGCGTGCGTGCGCGTGTGCGTGTGTGTGCGCATGTGCGCGTGTGTGTGTGCGCAACGCTTGCAGCACCCTGGGTGGTGCTGCGCAGCCCAGGGCGAGCGCGACAGCTCCCCGTCGCACCCCTTTACCGCACGGGCAGCTGCCCGGTAGCTGTCGCACCCCTTTACTTCCCGCAACTCAGGCCTGTCACGGCCTCTTGCCCGCCGCATTGCCCGCAGGGTGCTGTTCTTCGCGCCAAAGCTGGTGGATGCGATTATGTCGGGCTCCGCCGTCGACATCGCCGCCGGCGCCGCAGCCAAGGGCGTCCGCGCCCACGCGCCGCGCGCAGCAGCCGCCGCCTCCTCCCGCGCGCTCCTCGCGCACGCGCCGCCGCCGACGGCCGCGGGCGTGCGCGCCGCGCTGCTGACCGCCGTGCCCTTTGTCCTCGCGGCCGCGGCGGCGGTGTGGCTCGGCAAGCGGTCCCAGGAAAAGGGCGAGCGGTGCCGACACATGGCGGTGCCCTGGTTCATCTCGGCCCTGATGTTCCTGCTCTTCAGCTCGGCAGCTTCCCATTCGCCCCAGGCCGGGTTTGTCTGCCTGACGCTGGCGGTCGTGACTGCCACGTCACCCAACGCGCTGCTCAACACGCTGGCGTCTTCGGTCAGCCAGGGGCCCGCGCAGGCGGTGTCGCTGAGCCTCTACAACGCGGGTGGGCTCGCGCGAGGGCGGCCAGCGGGGACTGCGGCGCCCGGGGTTTCTGCTGCGGCGCTCTGCTGCGTGCTTACCAGGCGCAGCCTGCATGCGCCCGTGTCAGGCATCCTGCACGCAGCGGGCGGGGCGCGCACAGCGATCCCTGACAGGGCGCGTCCGCTGCGTGCACGCGCAGCGCGGCAGCCGCTTGCCCGCACACCCTGCTGGGGTCATTGGCCGCATTGACTCCCCCTCGCCGCCGCCGGAGTCGCTGCGGCTTGGGGGGCCTTCTCACTTCCGACCCTGTCGTCCCGCGCCCCTACCCCACACTCACACGCCCCTGCTGCGCCCAACCCTGCCTCCCCTCACCCCGCAGTTGCAAACGTCGGCGGCTTGATAGGGCCGCTGTTCATTGGGTTTGTGGTGCACCACACGGGGGTGTACACCGCCGCGATGCAGGGGCTCGGCTTGCTGGTGGCGGGGGCCGCAGCGATCGTCTGGCACATGCAGCGCTGGGGGGTGTGACCCTGACCCCCAGCGCCGTTGATGCTTGATCGGTGCGGCGTTGGTTTAGGGGTTCAGCTCCTGGGCCGCCACGCGCAGCCGGCCCCGCGCATTGAATTTGCCCAAGCACAGATGCGTCAGTGACTTGACTGCTTATTGCAAACACAGCGACCTAGAGCAGAGCGTATGCAGAAGAATGAACAGCCACAGCAGCCCCTTCGATATTCCTTGTTTGCGTGTGTGTTCCTGTGTGTTTTTGGGCGTGCTCATGCTTTCAGGGCAAGCTTGCACGCCTTGGGCGTGCGCGCGCCGCAGCAACATGTCTTGGCATTCACGTACGCTATTTGAGGGTATCCCCTGCTGATAAGCTTTTGGAATGTCTAGTGCTTTTTTGGCGGCAGCAGCTCGGCCATTCCAACCCACGCTGCGATCCGGTAACGCTTATCAAACATCCGGCGCAAGATGGCAAAATAGGTTGCATCAGTTGGCGGAGCGGTGGCCGGCAGGACTGGCAACTTGGGCTGCACGCCTAAATGTTCAGGGGAGGGTTGGGTCTGGAGTTAGTGCCCGCCGGGGCCGGCGGGGGCCGCCAACATGCGTTGAACGCGTCAGGTGTGGACCATGTTTGACCTTGTGCGATCCTGCCACCGCAGAACACACGCCCACACATCATAGAGCGTGATGAGATCCTCGTTCAATCCACAGAAAGCCACAACTTGGCGATGTATGCCAGGATCTGAGGTGCTGTCCATCAGATCAGCCCGCCAGATCGCCAGGTTCATGCTTTGACACAATTCGCATGGGGAATGCCAGTGTCTCAAAGCTTCTAAGATCCAGGCAAATCTTGGCAACTGCCTCTCTGTCCACACTGGACAGTGCGAACTCCCCTCTGCAGCGCTTGTCAAGCAGTTCATGGCGCACAATTAGCACACGGATGGGACATGGGAGAGAAAACTGATTAGAACGCCGCGCACCTGACAGAGCCGGCTGTGCCGGGGCGTGCCGCTCACCTGCCAGCGCCCCCCAGCGACGCGCGCCCAGGCGTGGACCGCCGCGATGGCCGGCGGCATCCTCAGCCTGCCGGGCGCCGTGCTGCGCGTGGCAGGCCGCGTCGCCAGCCTGCCCGTCAAGCTGATGGGCCTCGGGCTCAGCCGCCGCACCTGGACGCTGTTTTACACGGGATACATAGCCGCGCTGGTCGCCAAGCGGCTCGCGCGCGCGTGGCGGCGGCGGCGCGACGCATATGACGGCCTGGATGGGCTGGTCTCCTTCTCCTCACGCCTCATAGCCGGTTCGTCCCCCCTGCCGCCCCGCCGCCCCGCGGCGCCCCGCCTCCGCGACGGCCCCGGGGGCCGGCGCCCGCAGCGGAGCTCTGCAGACCACGGTCCCCGGTCGGCGCATCTCCCCGCCGTGCCTGCCGTGACGAGCTGGGAATCAAACACAGCCCCTGCTCCCCTGTCCTTCGCACGCCCCACGACATACCTCCCCCTGCACCCAAAA